TGTTGGGGAAGACATAAACTGACTCACAATGCTGACAGAGTATGCGATATCGGGACGAGTTACTGTAAGATAGTTCAGTTTCCCAACCAATCTCCTATATTTCTCTGGATCTTCGAATAACTCACCGTCTTCTTTCACGAGTTGTGTGTTAGGAACCATTGGCATGCTGCATGGTTTAGATCCCAACTTTCCAGTTTCAGCTAACAAGTCAAGAGTATATTTCCTTTGGGACAAGAAGATGCCTTTCTTGCTCCGTGTAACTTCAACTCCCAAAAAATATTTTAGTTGCCCTAAATCTTTCGTCTGAGTGTGAAGGAAAGACTTTAGAGTTGAAATTCCTATAATATCACTTCCAGTAATAACGATGTCATCAACATATACTACCAATAAAAGAATACCATCATCAGACTTTTTATAAAACACCGTATGATCGCAATTGCTTTTCTTCATCCCATATTCTAGAACAGCCTCACTAAATCTGCCAAACCANGGTATCAGAACATTGAAGTTTTTTCATCAGTTTGTTGTTGGGAATTTTTTTTCCCCGTTCGAATTATTTTTGTTCNTACTCCCCCTGAGCAACAAACCCAGGTGGTTGCTGCATATATACTTCTTCCCGAAGATCTCCATGTAGAAAAGCATTCTTTATATCAAGCTGATGCAGAGGCCAATCATAAGTAACTGCCATGGAAATGAATAATCGAACAGAAGCTAACTTGGCGACCGGGGAAAAAGTATCCAAATAGTCGACTCCATAGGTCTGTGCATACCCTTTTGCAACAAGGCATGCCTTAAGGCGAGCTACTGTCCCATCGGAGTTAAACTTAANTGTTCACTGTACTGTTCAAATATCACTGTTCACTGCACTGTTCAAATTTCACTGCACTGTTCTTAACTATTTGATTCTGGCAAGATGACTGAAACAAACCATTTTTTCCTGACAACTTTCACTGTTCACTGTTCAAATATTACTATTCACTGTTCACTGTACTGTTCAAATATCATTGTTCACTGTTCACTGTACTGTTCAAATATCACTGTTCACTGTACTGTTCACTGCACTGTTCAAATTTCACTGCACTGTTCTTAACTATTTGATTCTGCTATTATTCGGTTGCAAGATGACTGAAACGAAACCTACCGTTGATGTCATTCCGGTTATGTCCAAAATTACGGAGAATAAGTTCATGGGTTCCAATTACATGGATTGAAGTAAGACGATCCGCATGTTAGAAACCAAAGAAGTTCTATATTTCATATCTAGAAGAGAAGATTACAAGGCCTATTTATAATACTAATTCACCTAATCTATTAGTTGCCATACACCTAATTACACCTACTATACAACTCATATACATGTGCTAGCTATGATGTAGTACACGTGTATACATGTGCTACACAACTTGTATTACACCTACTATACAACTCATATACATGTGCTAGCTATGATGTAGTACATGTGTATACATGTGCTAGACAACTTGTATGTCAACATGTTGCAACTGAAAATGAGACAGGATCCCATCAGTTGGCTACTAAATAATCTCTGGTAAACAAGGATTCTGCTTTCACCTGGGAGCCTCTCAGTTTTTTTATGAGTTCAGTTCCAGACAGCATTTTACATGTGATATGCTCAGAAGAATGTTTTTTTTTCTTATCTTCTCAAGTATTAGGGTCACGTCATTAAAGGGAATTATGTAAAATACTTTATGGCCCAGGATAGGAAAAACTAGGAGAACAGCTTGCTTAAAAAACTTTACCAGCCAGTGATGATTTGGTATCATCCAAAAGGGCTAGTCATCCCAGGTGTTTGTAATTTTAGTCAAGTATTAGACTTTCTTATAGTAGTTTCGTAACATTAAAGAGTGGACATGAAGTCAAAAATCAGAGAGATACTGATTCACAGAACTATCAATCTACAATATGTACCGGTTGAAGGAGATGTAGATAAATGGATAGTCCACACCTTTCCACCTTGCCAACTGAACTCAAAAAGGAGCCTCAAGTGATTCATCCCAGACATCTGCACTTCCATTGGAGGCATCCTCTGCATCTTCCTCCATTGAGAGTCTAATATATTCTCTATGTGCAAAGCGATCCCACTCAGTCAAATTCGGGTTCTCACGCTCCTGGAACAAAAAGAAAAATCATGTTAATCCATTGGTGAGAATGATGAAGGAATGTAGAACAGCCTCCTTTACTTATTAATCAAACATTAACTTTTCAATTACCTGACGTATTAGGAACGGGTCGCGAGTTTCAAATGCCATGAACTTATTGAGGTTAAAGAGTATATTGAAAACACTGCCGGATAACTTATTGCCCTTCAAGTCATGTAACATAAAATAACTTTCATCCTGCAAGTAAGGAAAATTCAGTGCTACGTATCATTCTTGAAAATTAACCCAGATGGTACAAATTAAAACAGGTGTAGATTACATATCGCACATCAAGTCAAACAATACAGAGTTGAATAATGGCATTAATTATTTCGATTGAAAAAGAAAACGACAACTTCTTTCCCAAACTAATCATGACTGTTGCGTTTCTAATCTCCAAAGGACCATTGGCTAAGAAATTACTCAGCACATTGGTTCACTAATTCACCATCAAGAAGATAAAATCTGACTGTCAACCTCCCACCAGACAGCTTAAAAAGAAATACAGTTCACTAACTTTAACTTATGCATCACCGTCTTTCACAGAAAAGACCATTCAGAGAATGCAACTTACAAACTTCAAATTAGGTACCAAAAGGGGTCAACCAGAAGTGTTCTTTCGTTAGAGAAGAAAAGCATTAATCTGATGGATATGTCACAGCATGTAAAGGACACAACAGATAAAGACATCACATGTGAAAAAAACAAAGATTACCTCTGGACTAATCATGTCGACCATCTGGCACAATATATCCTCAAAAAGCACTGGCTCTTGGCCCATGCATTCCATTCTATGCAACTGCTCCTCATAAAAAAATTGCATTTCATTCCTAGTCAGAACACCGTTTCCATCCAAATCTATGCATTTGAACCTGCCCATAAAATAAATTGAGATATAGAAAAGAAAGGCAGTGTCATATGTGAGTTTGTGCATGTCCCACAACAATACAATTGACTATTTTTCCGAAGGGGACTCATCATTCTATAATGACATTACTTTGCCTAAATTCTTAGCTGTGAATTCAAGCAATACTAATGCAAAACACAATCAACTAAATGGCCTTCCCTGACTGTCACGATAATTCCTGATAGAAATACTCTTAATTATCAAAATACAACAAACCAGCAATTTGACTTCCAGCCCATAATAATTAATATTATCTCGCCAACTATGATGAAACTAGAGACAACACAGCAATGCTTGCATACACAAATAAGTCAGTCTAATCAACCAAGAAAAGCTAAAGAGCCACTAAAAAAGTTAGCAGAAAAGACGATTAGGAAAGAAGACAGATAAGTTTGGTTGACTAGACCAGCTTCCTTTTTTTGGGTACTGTGGACACAGAAATCAGAGATACCTTGACGATACTGCAGTACCAGTTTGAAGACTGAAATATCAATGTCTATAATTTATTTATTTTGGGGTGTAAAATGTTGGACGTATATGATAAGACACATTAGTTGACTTATCAGTTCCCTAAATATTGAGGGAGCTTGACTAATCTACTATGTAAAATTCTGCACCTACAGGGGTCCACAAAAGTAATAAAATGACCTTACTAATCTGAAAAGGTACTCTGTGTACTCAAATCTTATGCTTTCAATAAGTACCTTGGTTTTCCAGTAAATAAATGCATAAGTAATTGGATCTCCAATAATTCTACAAGTTAAAAGCTACCAAAGTCGTAAATATTTCAATACACCTTTGTTCCATAATGTCTCAGATGATTTCTTCCCATCTGTCCAAACTTTGGTGGACATAGTTAGTTACCTAGTACCTATTGTCGGTGGGAGGTACTAGGTATCCCGTGGAATTAGTCGAGGTGTGCGCAAGCTGGACCGAACACCATGGTTATTTTTAAAAAAAAAAGACATCTTTGATCCACATCTCATTAAAATCAGACCATCACTTTTTTTTTGGGGGAGGGGGGAAGAAGGGAAGATGTTGCTTCTATGCTCATAAATGGGTGAGACATAAGCAGTTGAATTATCATAAAATTTTGCAACCTATGTGAAATTGTGAATTACTTCATACATCTTAGATCTGGTTCTGGTTTTTCTCCTAGAAAAAGAGGAGAAAGCTAAGATGGTTGTGGTTTTGTTTTGTTTTTATTCCTCCCCCCCCCCCACCTTTCCAGAAAACAAATGTATTGTTTGGATTTAGGCAAAACAGCCCTTTGGTTATTTTATCTCCGATAAAACAAAAAACTGTCTTATGCAGAACAAAACAATTGCTGAAAACAAACAGGGCACAGAATTTAAGTGCAACAAATATATTAGAACTAGAAGTAGGTAATTTGCAAGCAAAACCTTGTTCATACTCGTGATATCCTGGTTAGCACAAGCATATTAGTCTTACGAACAATAATAATATCATATACTTCCGACTTCCAAGTACCAGCATATTTGGTGCTCCTAATGCTATTAATTATTGGAGAGCCGATTTTATAGCCTAAACAAAAGTGCTTTTTGAAAACATTCACCAAAACATCTACCCCCCCCCCCACNCCCCCCCAACTCCTCTTTTTCACTCAATAAATTAGGAAGCAGAATACAGAAGGAATCCACTAATCAACTGCAGTCATAAAATTGACATGGATAGTTGAAATCAGTTCCTTCATAAAAAAAGAACATTAGTAACATAATCTCCGCTTAGCAGGAAAAAAAAAATCACAGTAATGATGTAAAGAGACTTGAATTCTCCATCTTCATCAAAAAAGATCCAAATGCTCCACTATAAAAGAATCAGGAGGAAAAGTTCAAATTTTCATGGAGCTTGAAAAAGAGTTTCGTGTTAATCCTGAAATTTACCAGTATTCAAGACCAGGCTCTGATGTTTTATCCTCCTCCGACAATATAAAGTAAACAAAGTCTTCATAACCCATCTTTCCTTCAACTTTACTTGTAAACTTCCTTGGAACCTGACAAAAACATTACAACATGCTAATCCTCTCTGTGCCGTTCCAATTTTGTTGGATATCCCTTAAGGGGCGAAAGAAAATTAAAACATGAACTCCTTATAACGTGATAAACAAGCATTCCCAAAAGTACAACAATTTATTCATTAAAGCAGGCAAGGCAAATTGATAAGTGACAAACAGAGTACAAGGAAGACTCCAACCTGAGAAAATATTCTATCAACAATCCTGTATGTAAGGGCATGGTTGCCATATCGAATGAGGTTCTCTTTATCAATCAGAAAATCATGATCCGTATCGAGCTCCCAAAACTTGCAATATATCACGTAAAAGTGTTCGTAAGAGAAGTACCTGCAGCAAAAATAAGATGCTCAATGACGTGGCAGATATATTTGCTTGAACGGCAGTAAAAAGAACTTGACCAACGTTATCAGGGTAGTGTCAAGCCAAAGTCAATAGAACAAACTCTAAAAGGTAAGTAAAGAAAGTAGCAGAATGTTTGACTTAGTTTCTATGAGGAAGCCAGAGTTTCAAAGTAATCTGCAAAACATTGTGATGTGCTTTTGTAATGTTTATCTCCCAAAATGGATCTGCTAATCATGTGATCTACAATGCATTTTTTCTCTCTTCTTTCTATGACTAGTCAAAGAAGTACAATTTCCTAGCACCACCATTTGCCACATAAACATGCATAATTAAATCATGTGACATAGATATTTTGATGTTTACAAGGCAAAGAAACAAGGACAGACCATATCAAGTGGCATAACAGAAGTGAATCTCTAAAACTTCCCAAAACGAAGAAAACTGTGAACTTTTTTCATGTCTATATTAAGTCAATCCCATTGCAAAGATATTTACCTAAGGACCTTGTTAATATCTTCTTCTTCATCCGCATGTTGCATTGCAGCAATTAGGTCTGAACGCTTCAGCTCCCTGAGGGTAAGTTGACCATTACCCAATCTATTCACGTAGAAAAATATTCTGTATATTACAGTTTCAGCTGGCCAATGCAAGAAAATTAGCTGTTAAGATAGAGTAAAATAGTTTGTAACCCCTCTATGTTACAAACAGGTATTTAAATACGATGTATCATTCCAACTTTTAAGAAAGAAAAAAAAGACTATCTACTCCATTCCTAATGGTCCCAAACCAAGAAAGCTGACAGAACCCCGCAAAAAAGGGTGACGGGTAAAAGGGAATGGGACTCCTTTAGAGAGAGCAACCAAAGGAAATTTCAAGTCTTAGACGAGAAAGCTTTGCCGAGGAATTAAAGTTCTCATGCTTGATGTACCAAAAGACCAGAAAAGGCAATTAGATCTTTTATTGTCTTTCTTCTCCACCATTAGGCATGGGGGATGAGTAACACAGCATACTTCATTCAACATATAATTGCCTCAAAAATACTGTCCAGTTCATCAGAGAAACTCACACCTCACAAATTAATCTAGCACTGAAACCAAAAAACTACAACAAACTGGGGACCTGTAGCACTTTTAGTTATCTGCTTTGGTTACATGTAATGGTCCTCTCAAGAAAGAAATTGATAGGGATGTCTAATAGAACAGCTCATGTAGGACAGTGGTTATATACATCCCACAAAACATCGTCAAATTCAAGGGCACAAAGTTCCGCATGCAAATTTTTAACGACGTCAAAATATCAAATTAATAGAGGGCATCAGCAACTAATACAGTATAACATTGAGAAGGTACCATATCGCTCTTGAAATTCAGGTGTGCTCCGTAAGAACTCTAACCCAGGATGTGTTGCCAAAAGCTCTTGAAGCACGGGCTTGAAATCATCCTACAATCAAATTGGTTGAAGTTTCAATTGGAACAAGGAAAAAACAGATCTAGCAATCTAAAAATATTCTCCGTGTAATCATGAATCAGACCAAATCTTTAGCTCTTTCGGATAGGACGAGTAAGAAACTGCAAAGTAATTATAACAAGTCACTCAAACAAATAACAAACAAAGTAGAGAAAGCACCTGTGTCAGGTGTTTGAGATCTAGCTGCTTCAAGATTGTGTAAATCTGGGTTGCTATATCTTTTGTCAACATATTTCCGTTGACCCAATAATCAACAAAGGCATCCCTACAGCCATGTTAAGCAAATAGCATCAGCAAACTACTTGAAAAAAGAGATCCAGACATTGTGAGAAATGAATTAACACTAAATGCTCAGGTATACTCTGCATTACTAGTACCCTACATCTGCTGTCACTTCCGAGTTTCTCTTTTCAAGTGTTAGCAGTTACAAATAAACATGGGAGAAGGTGTTATAAGTTTGCAAAGCAAAGAGATACAGATACAGACCAAAAGAAGCTGTCTTAACTGGAACTGTCGAAAACAACAGACAAACCTATTAAGTTAATACACTTTAAATGTTTGAGAAATAAAACTCCTATGAAATAATTCCTCCCTTACACAAAATCTATTAAGTTCTGTCTTAAAACCTCTGCAAAGACAAAGTACAACGTTCAAGAAAGAAGCTAGAATTCAAATATAATCAACTATAACTAGCACAGTAACTATAACAAAAAATTGAGCTTCTGAGTGAAGGGAGCTTAGTACAATAGTATTAAGTTACTCAAACTATCAAAATATATAGAAGGATATATCTACTCAAGGAACTGTATTATATATCAAATAGAAGGACGTTACCGGAGGTCGAAAAGACATATAGAAGGATGAAAGGAAGAAAAGGATGCCCTTAATCCCAACATTTTCATCCATGTTCCAAAGGTGCAGATGACCTTCTAGGAATTACCCCAATTAAATGAATCATCTTGAGAATTGAGAAGAAAGAATACCTTGTTATGATGCCCGTTCCCTCAACATCAATCTTCCTAAAAAGAGCCCTTGAGAAGAACGACGGCAACTTGCATATTTCCTTAGTAATTGGTTTAAATTCTAACAAACCAAGGAAAAATAAGTTATATGGAATGTCAAACACAAGCATGAATAATAAATCAAATCATGTAGGCCGACGGCCCATATAGCTAGCATAAATAATTATAAACTACTCTTTATACATTTATACATGATCCAGCTTAGTCTTAAGCCTACACTTGGTTTCCAGTCCAACCACACACACACACACACACACACCCCCCCAACTCACAAATTGTAAACCATATTGAGAATTTCAGCACTAAACAGACTCAGATATGCTGTAATTAGTTCCAAAAACTAGTCAGAATCTGATATATGAATCTTCTACATAAGTTGTGCTTGATTTGGGCTTATTTCATTGCAATACTAAATAATTTGTCTTTAAGGCGAATTGAGAGTTCTCCAAACTAAAGGTCACTTCTCTCCGTGACATCTACAGACAAACATCGGACCTAATATAAGTGTAACAACAATAATAAAGCATTAGTCCCTACTACTTTATTAGCCTACATGGATCTTTTGCTTCCATTACAGGTAGATAGAAAAAATCACCGAATATCATTGCCTCTACTGGATTGGAATTTGAACCATTTTCTCAATGGACTTCATTCCATTTTATTCTATTCTTAGTTGAGCCACGCTGAGTTTGCCTCTGTGGATCTTATCTTAGGTCTATCCCGCCCCCTTTTTGCATATTTAACAATAATAATATCGCACATATGGACCAGTCTATTTGGAAGACTATGTAAGACAACGATATCGGGCAACGTACTCTCATTTTTTCCACTATAAATTTTTTACTAAGGAAGTTAATGATAAAGAAAAAAGAATTTTTAGTAAAGAAACAGTACCACAAAAGTACTGAAAATATACATAAACTTTGTATACTTGATCCCTCTTATTTGTGTAAGGAGTCTGAACATTCTTCTTACACCAAAAGTACAAATTGTGAAGGATATCTTAACTTTATATAAGAGATACATTCATTTTCCTCAAAAAGCGTCCATGGTTTCTTTCTACATTGTCCAAACTACACAATAAGGAATAGTCTTCCAATATTACCTCTGTTTTTCTTTTCATATCCTCTACCCCTACCAGCTGACAAAGTCTATTTTGGATCACTGGACTCCATATAAATTCAAAAACAGAGTAAAGCTTCCATGTATGTCTGCAGTGCAGAAGGAGATATTTAACTAATTGACTCTATGTTCTTCACAATGGTAGCATCTGCCACCTGCTGCAAAGATTACAATCTCTTCTCTAAAGAGTTTCTTGTAATAAGCAATCTTCGTGTAACTGCAGTTGCACCTTTTGTCGGATGTGATCATTTCTAATATTACAAATTTGGTATGACCAATTTTTACAATAAGTTCTTGTATGATCATCTTAATATCTGGATTTTACAACAATCATCCTATGAGGCATAACAATTTCCCATATAATATTGGTGGTCTCACAACCGTTTCATAAAACTTGTCACTTTGTTAGGTATTTTCCTATCGCATACCACTCACATTACTCCTCTAGTGTTTTATCAGGACACTTTACTCCTCTATTTCAACCATTCCATATCAATTCTGTGTTACATCTTCAACTACCATGTCATTCCCCTAAATGACTGAGCCTATCCCGGTGTCTGTACTAGAAAACATTTTGGTGTCATCTTTTTTTCATTTTTTTTTTTG